GACTGGCGACGTGGAGAAGAACGGGCAAAGACGCGGCAGTTTGACGCGCGCGTTGGCGATGGTGCATGGTATGTCTTGGGCCGCGGTGTTGTGTGTGTTTTTTTTTGTCAGCTGCACTATTGGGGTTGTCTCAGAGTTGGAGAGCCGTCAAAACGGATGTGGGTTCCTGGTAGTTCCTTTTAAACACTTCCCAAACATGGCACGTTGAACAGCACACACACACACACCCATTTCCAGTATTTCAATCACACTGCGACTGGATATTGTGCTTTCTCAACCGTGTTCCGTTTCTTGCAACCCCTTCTTGGATGGTCAACCCAACTAGGTTGTAGCCTTTGTGGGGGACTTTGAAACATTTTCTGTCATGGCAGTCATGGCATGTCTGGGGCTTTGCCACAGGTGTGGGGGTTTGGGACGTCCCAAATTCTTTCCAACATGTATCCCACTTAGGTCACTTATGGGTCGGGGAAATAGCCGCTTCTTTGGGGTGGATGGTCTTCCAACTGAGCAGCCCAAAGCCCCCATTGTTCAATTTTGTACGTGGTACTTCAACATGGTGTAATACAGTTTCTGTTGTAAGGCCCATATGGGTCTGTGTGTTTTTGCGGACCCCCCCCCCCCAAACAGAAAAAAACAACGAGACAAATTGTGGTTTTGCTTGTGATTGCCGGTTAAGAAGAAAACAGGGCACCCTCAAGAAAAGTCACAAATCCATATAAACAGTTAATATCATTGTATACTGGAAATCACCAAACGTCTTTTTTGAACCCCAAGCAGCGGGGCTCGGTCGAGGAGAGACGGACTGCTCTAGCCATTTGCTCAACGCCCTGGGCTATGCGCAGTTCATGCAGCAGGAGCTCTCGGATTTTGGGCGGGCGTTCGGTCGCTGGGTTGCTCGAACTATGGTAGGGGGACATCAAGTAAGTATAACCATGGTTATAGGGACGAACCCCTACCAACCAGCTATAAGTATGGATAGAAGCTATAGTACTTATGTGATGTTGAACATCCAAGTTGCTTTTTTTTGCCCTGGGATTCAGAGCGGGGCGGGACCCTGGGCTGAGTTTTTTTTACTGCTGCGCGACCACACGCCCCCGTTTCGGCGATTTGAGAAGTGTTTGTACCGGGTAAGGCTTTTGGGTGTGTGTTTTTTTAGGGGACACCTGCCCCCCGGCCCCACCCCCCCCAAAAAAGAGAAGAAACAAGCTCAGGTGATATCCCCAACAGCATGCGGTGCTTTTTTATCGCTAAGACCACCTCGCAGAACCTCGCGGAACCTGGTGGAAGCCTGGTGGAACCCTCGTGCAACCTTACCTCCGTGCCGCCCCGGACCACCCCGGAGCCTATCTGGGCTGAGACCCCAACCAAAGCTTCCAGGTGTTGGGGAAAAAGCAAGAAGAAAGGTGCTTTCCTTTTGGTTTTTCCTCCCAAACCACAGAACTTTAGGGCTACCCTTCGCTTGGTGCGCTTGCGTCCTCTCCATGTCGCTTGGGATTGATGATGCCTTGTATGCCTGTCCTCAAAGCCCGGGTAGATGAAGCTTAAGGGATCCGAACAATGAGCTCTACAAGAACCAGTGGTTCAACAAATCCGAACCTATCCAAGAACTAGTAGCTGAATAAATGGATGCAGCCGCCTTTTTAATTTTCTTTACATGGTTCTGGGTAGACCATTTTCATGCCAGGTTTTGATTACTCACCTTTGTTTATCATCGTACAACAGTTGGCTGCTGGATTGTCTTCTGTGATACCATTGGAGCCTCCTCTCAAATGACAAAGTAGCTATAAGGATGGCTCACATTGGTATGACAGAAATTGTTAATTTGACAACCATGTAATGTCGGAGCTTGTTTACCGTGGGCCCCCCCCCAAACAGTCAAAACAGTGCTCGAGGATCGTGAATAAGGATCTGGCAGGGAGCTTGGATGACTTAAGTATTGCTTTCGTATTGTCTCTACTTAGTTTAGTATTGGGAGAATTTCCTTTTGGGTCGCCACTGCTTGGTTTAGTATTGCCAGCATTTCCTGTTGGGTTGCCACTACTTCGTTTAGTATTGCCAGCATTTCCTTTTTGGGATGCCACTACTTAGTTTAGTATTGCCAGCATTGCGTTGGCACTACTTAGTTTAGTATTGCCAGCACTTCCTTTTGGATTGCCACTTAGGTAAATATTGTCGGCACTTCCTTCGGGTTGCCACTACTTAGTTCAGTATTGCCAGCACTTCCTTTTGGGTTGCCTTTTGAGGAATGCCTGCGGCTTCTCATTTTCAGACCTCAGAGTATTCTGCAATTTGAAATCTGTTTTTCTGCCCTTCTCTCAGTTTGCAGGTGCCTGTCAACGGCATAGAGGCAGACCAGTCAGAATCCTGCTGCCCTGCCATGGCAAGTCAGGTGCAACCAATGCAAGACTAATTTCCCTGCCAAGGTGCTGCTCAGGTACCACAAATCGTGCTCTTGGCTGAGATGCTTCTTTGGAGGCAGTGCCTGAAAATGGACTTTCAGGTGCTTCCAGAAGACCTTTTGCTTAACTGTGTGGACGCATCTACCCCTTTCCATCCGAGCTCTTTATCTGGAGGAAAGAAAAGAAGCCACGCAGGCAGTTGTCAATCCCTTCATTCCGGCCTTCGTACTATTTTTGCATCAAGGCACTGGACGTTGCTGGTTGCTGCGAAGGACAGCCCTGGCAAACAGAGGGCTTCACGCGGAGCTCGAAGTTTGAGCAGGAAGAAGGCAGCAATCCACGTGGCAACCAGAAGGGGCGAATGGCCCAGGCTCTGGATTCCGGACTTGGCTAGGGCATGGAGATCCAAGCTTCTGAAGCAGTTTCAGCACCTGTCGAAGGAGAGGAAAAGCCGAGAAGCTGAGCTCAAGCAGCACAAAAGGATGATCGAGGCTCAGCTAGAGAAGGCTGAGAAAAGTACAGCAGCAGCTGAGGAGAAACTTGAAGCAGCCAAAATCCAGTGATCAGCAATAGCTGAGGCTGCTAAGCCTGCAATCAAGAAAAACAGCAGCAGGTTGGGATGACATCTTGATCAGGCTGCTAAGAAGATTTTGGCCTTAGAGCAAAGCAGCTGCGTTTGCAGGCCCAGGTGTTGCCACGGCTGTGATCCTTGGAAGGCACTCAGGTACTATGCCAACACTGAGGGAAAGCTTGAGAAAAAGATTCCCAGCATTTGACACATTTTACACTTAGCTTGCGGGACCTGAAGACCTTGCCAAACTTCTGGGCAAGTGGCCACAGAGGCTGAGGCCCACAGCGTCTCAGGTTGAGCAAGCACAGATTTGCAGAGTTTTCGGGACTGAGCCAGGAAGTCGAGAGGAGAAATCAGTTGCCCTTGTTGCGCATTTTGCTCAGATTTTTTGTTGGGGTCTGAACTTGACATAAATCATGGTCCCGAAGCAGTGGGGGGATGGGGGGTCGTGTTTAAGTTAGGGAAATTTAACATAATTCAGACTACCGATGTTAAACCAGGTGCAGCATTCGGGCGGGGGACATCAAGCACTTACCTGACGCGGGGTGCCTTGCAGCAGTGGATGCTTGCGAAAGCACGAACTTCTGAACAAGCTGGAATAAAACGGTTTGCGCGCTTGATTGAGTGTGTAGTAGGTGAACAAGGCTGTGCGAACTGAGTTGTGTACTTACCGTTTACACCTCAAGCTGTGGCAAACAAAAAACGTTACACTCGTGCTGGCCAATCCACGCAGGAAGTGAGTTAGATGTAACCCACTTGGGGCTTGCAAGGGGCTTCTTAGCAAGGATTGTTTTTGTCTATTAGACCCTAAGCCGGTTCTAACGAATGGGTTCCGAGTGCTTGCGCCAAAGGACACGCTTGGTCGCATCCGATTTCGGAGTGCATCGGTTGCAACCCCCCCAACTTACCTTTGCAAAGGGGAGATCAACCCATCTTGAGGCAATACTTTCAACTTTTACAGGTCAATTTGAGTTACTCAAAGGACTTTAAAGTGACGATCGCCGTTTGCCTTCGCGCGGGAAAGCCGAATCCCCGGCGATTCGCGGCAGGACTATACGCGTGCCGCAGAGACCTTTCAGCTGGGCCTTGGCCTCGAATCCATGGATCGATCTGCCTCGAACGATCCAGTTGAATTCCCTAAGACGTGACCCCTGCAGATCAACCCCTGTTTATTATGGAGCCTTATTTTGGCTGCAGCCCCGCCACCCATTGGGGCTGCTTTTCGCCCTTATCAATAGACTTGGGTTTATTGCGGATGGGCGAAATCCGTTGGCGCCGCTTTGAAACCATGGTAAACCATGGTTGGTTGGCATTTACGGGCGAATTTTGAGGGCTTCCTGGTTCAGGATCTCGTTCATCCACAGGGATGGCCATGGCCCCCATGGTGCATTTGGACAACAGTTGCTAGGGATCATGCGGGGACCGCAGCCATACATACAGGGAGGTCGGCCAAAATTCGGGCCCCTTTACGGCCTCGGCCTTTTGGTTCTCTACATTTTTTTGAGTCTCGGGAAACGGACAAATATAGGCAGCCCTACAAGCCTTAGGGCCCTCGAGTCGTTCTGCATGCCGTGCGTTGTTTGTACTCATGCGTGTGGTGAAACGAGCCCTCCCGCCCCAGCTAACTGTTCCCTTATTTTTGATTGGCCTTTCGGTGCTTGTTTGGCCTGATTGGGCCTTGCTTAGTTGGCCTTGTCGGGGCCATATTTGGTTGAGTGGATGCTTATGTGGTGCTTAGTCCTGATAAGGCGCGGATGCCCTGGAAGGAAATATCGTGCGTGCAATGGTTTCCCAGCAAAGTGGATTAGGATCGGCCAAGCCCGCCCCCTTTCTGAACACCGCAAGAAGGGGCAATTTTGAAGGAAGGCTGGCTGAAATTCTGTTGGACCAACCAACAGACTGGAAAGACCAACAAGCATTGCGAGCACATGGGGGTGCGCACCCTGTGGTTTGTGGACCTTGAAGGTCCTTAATCCAGTGCTGCTAGGCGTTTCGCCATAGCCGACAATCCAGGTTTGTTACTAGGTGCCATGGATAGTTTTTCCTGGAAACCCGGAAGCAGCGAAAGCTGATTTTCTGACTGAGGCACCAGCGCGGACCCGCAGAACCCCATCATTTGGAGCAACCTGGGAGCTGCGCAGATGGTCGGGGCCCTAGAGGTTTCTTTCGTTCCGCCTTTAGTTAGCCTAGACGACCAACAAAATCCGAAATCCAACCCCGATTTCCTGCCGCGAATTCCTATGTTGGTCGGTTTTTAGACACCCCCAAAACGGCGGGGGGGGGGGGGATTGCCCCCGGAAACGTGGAGATGGGTGTGGTTCCTTCTTTTTTGTCCTCAATGCACTGTCCATGGGCTTACTCAATTTTCCGTAGCCTGACCCGAAGAAACGCACACTCTCCAGGGCAATATCAAGGGTATCCTTTCTGATTCTCTTGCTTGCAGTATTTAAACATCGGTGCCAAACTTTGCAAGCCAAAGGCTTCGGCTGGAACAGTGTCGCAGGTGGGGTCTATAGAATTGCATGGATGACCCGGTGGTTATTGGGCTGCCCTATTTGGCACCCAGTTTCTATGCCCGGACAATCTGTCGCCCAAGTTGGTTACCCAGTTAGGGCTTACTAAGTGCGCATATAATCCACTAACTATACATGTGGTTCTCCAAAAGCAGTGCTTAGTTGTTCCTCGAACAGATGCAACACCAAAAGGGGTTGTGTAATTATGGATACCCCCCATGTGCTTGAAGGAAATGTGTGATTACTCACACCAAGAAAACTGCGCCATCTACTTTCAGTTTTATCCCCCAACAGCACCCCTCGAACCCTTTGGTCCTGCCATCCAGACCACTCCTTTTGAGCCTTGGCAGAGACCCTAAAGCTTTCAGCTGAGGGGGAAAACCACGTAACGACGAACCATGGGGGTTCTCAAAACTAAGGTCTCCTGGTAGAAAACCGCTTTAAAAGTAGCTTGTCCGAATTCTACCCTTTTTGCCCTTCATGTTTTTGAGAATGGTTCCCCTTTGACCTCAACCATGCAACAAGCCAAAGGATGCCCATTCTTTTCAGCAAATCGGATGCCCAATTAGTTCCCTCTTTTCTTTAGGGGGAATAGCCCCACCTCTAAACTCGGCCAACAAAAATCGGATGCCTAATCTTCCCCTTTTTTCTTCGGGGAATGGTTCCCCTTTTTAATCTCAACCAAAAACAAACTCGTATGCCCTGCTTTTCCAACCAACCCCGAAAAATCGGATGCAGGTTTTCCCCCATTGACCTCCGGCTGCCCCGTGGTTTTTTTTGCCCCATGGAAGTTTCCTCCCGAGGAGCTGTGGCACCTGGATGCTGCTGATGAGGCGTTGCGCGGCCGCCCAGAAATACGAGCGGTTCGGGGATAAGTACGGTGTGTCGGTGTGTGTGTGTGTGTGTGTGTGTGTGTGTGTGTGTGTGTGTGTGTGTGTGTGTGTGTGTGTGTGTGTGTGTGTGTGTGTGTGTGTGTTGTTGGCATATAGGTGTCCTTTTTGGTTGGTTTGCTTAAAAAATAGAGGGCCCTTGTTTACATGGGGTTTATTCCATTTGCCAGGACCATCTGTTTTTCCAAAAGGCCACCTATGGTTGTTGGGCGGGGGGTGGTTTAAATAAAGGGACACAGGCAGAGGACCAAACAACGGGATCGTAATCCCTCCCATTTTGACACGCACCTTATTGTGAGTTTCAACCTAATCTGGAGGACCATACTAATCACGTTTTTTGTCCTTGTAGGGACTAGTTCATTTTCAGGTTTTCTCTTCAGAGTGGTATGGCGCTCCGGATGAATCCGAAGTTAACATTAGGTCTTTCCGGCCGGCAGCATGATCCTAAGAACTGGACTTGATCGCCCGATACGCTGCAGAAGCGTTGCGGCAACCAATGGACATCCGCTGAAAAAGTGTTGGGGTGGGAATCTCACTGTATCACAAGGGTTGCTTTCACATGGGAAAGGCGCGATGTCAATGGTATCATAGTTGGGGTTTCCTCAGAGAATATGTGTGAGGTGAAGCTTCCCACAAGCAGGTGACTCACAGACATTTTTTCCCTGGCTTCTTGCGGGCTTCGAGTCATGTTGACCCTGCTTCATAATTGAAGGTTGAGTGTGGCTTCCAGTTCCATGTGAATCTCGCGTTTCGTTTTTTTGTTCTATTTCCAGTACGTGTCCTGTATCCATTTGTTCAATAGGGCACCAGGGCGCTTGCAGACTCGCTTTGCTGGGGTGAACTTAGCGGTCACGGCTCCACAAGAAAATGGTGTCTTCCTTTTGGTTTTAGGCTCTGAAGCCACGAAAAAAACAGTAACCTTCCCCCCCCAAAAAAAAACAACACCCCCACCCCCATGGGTCTTCCATGCCTCGCGTTCGTTTTTTCTCGTCTTATCGCGGGACCCGGGTGCTGAGGTTCAAGGCAGCGGACCTTTCGCAGAGCAACGAGCTGGTCGTCCACAATGCCGGGACCCATTGGCTGCTTTTTCCGTGGTCTTTGTGAGTTGGGGTAGGAATCAAGGGGGGAGGGTTCTCAAAATGGAGGTCCTTGGCGAGTTTATTGTGTCTTTGGGTGGGAATGAATTAATGTCTGCCTATTTTAAAGGGAGCTCACCGATCCGGGAGTACAACGAGCTATGATGGAGGTACTTTGCTTGGGGGATCCCTTGCTTTCAGAACTAAAATAAAGCATGCAGAAGTACTTAATGAGGGGTGGGGGGTTCTCAACATAACCATTTTGTTTAATGTCGAGTTTTCCCGAAAGCATGGCGAAGGGTTCTTCCGCTGGGTTCACTTAAGTTGTTCTCATGAGAGTCATTACAAGGTGTCATTGCAAGGAATCAGCATCATGAAAGTCATTGCAAGGAGTCATTGCAAGGAGTCATTGCAAGGAGTCATTGCAAGGAGTCATTGCAAGGAGTCATTGCAAGGAGTCATTGCAAGGAGTCATTGCAAGGAGTCATTGCAAGGAGTCATTGCAAGGAGTCATTGCAAGGAGTCATTGCAAGGAGTCATTGCAAGGAGTCATTGCAAGGAGTCATTGCAAGGAGTCATTGCAAGGAGTCATTGCAAGGAGTCATTGCAAGGAGTCATTGCAAGGAGTCATTGCAAGGAGTCATTGCAAGGAGTCATTGCAAGGAGTCATTGCAAGGAGTCATTGCAAGGAGTCATTGCAAGGATTGCAACTTGCACTTGACTCCTTGCACTTGCAACTTGCACTTGACTCCTTGCACTTGCAACTTGCCTCCATGCACTTGCAACTTGCACTTGACTCCATGCACTTGGCTCCTTGCACTTGGCTCCTTGCACTTGGCTCCTTGCACTTGGCTCCTTGCACTTGCAACTTGCACTTAACTCCGTGCGCTTGCAACTTGCACTTGACTCCATGCACTTGGATCCTTGCAACTCTCATGACTCCTTGCAATGACTCCTTGCAATGACTCCTTGCAATGACTGCTTGCAATGACTCCTTGCCATGACTCCTTGCAATGACTCCTTGCAATGACTCCTTGCAATGACTCCTTGCAATGACTCCTTGCAATGACTCCTTGCAATGACTCCTTGAAACAAGCAAGGAGTCAAGTGCAAGTTGCAAGTGCAAGGAGTCAAGTGCAATTGACTTGCAAGGAGTTAAAATCTCTTCTTAGGGCGGCGGGGTAGTGCCGACGACACTACACGAAAATCGACCCTCTGCGGGGATCGGCGTGGTCGAGGTGCAAAAACCCCTGGTTTTTTGCGATTTCTAACCTGCTCGCGCGACCCTCTGCGGGGATCGGCGTGGTCGAGGTGCAAAAACCCATGGTTTTTTGCGATTTCTAACCTGCTCCGCGCGACCCTCTGCGGGGATCGGCGTGGTCGAGGTGCAAAAACCCATGGTTTTTTGCGATTTCTGCGGTGCTCGCGCGACCCTCTGCGGGGATCGGCGTGGTCGAGGTGCAAAAACCCATGTTTTTTTGCGATTTCTAACCTGCTCGCGCGACCCTCTGCGGGGATCGGCGTGGTCGAGGTGCAAAAACCCATGGTTTTTTGCGATTTCTGCGGTGCTCGCGCGACCCTCTGCGGGGATCGGCGTGGTCGAGGTGCAAAAACCCATGGTTTTTTGCGATTTCTGCGGTGCTCGCGCAACCCTCTGCGGGAATCGGCGTGGTCGAGGTGCAAAAACTCGAGGTTTTTTGCGACTTTTGTTGTTCGAACTGGTCCTCGGGAGTTGTCTCGTGGTTCGCGCGCCTGCTCCCGGAACCGGCGGGTCGCGGGTTCGATTCCTCCCTGGTCCGCGGGCGGCGTCGCAAGATGCAACTTGCATTTTAAAGCAACTTGCGCAGAGCAACTTGCGCAGAGCAAGTTGCACAGAGCAACTTGCGCAGACCAACTTGCACCGACCAGTTTGCGCAGAGCACCTTGCCTAGAGCAACTTGCGCAGAGCAACTTGCGCAGAGCAACTTGCACAGAGCAACTTGCACAGAGCAACTTGCACAGAGCACCTTGCCTGGTGCTGTCTCGCGCTTGCTTCACGAATGCTTCGTGTAGGGAAAAAGAACGCATGCTGCAGCGTTGGGCCGACCTCGCTTGCGATGTTCTGCTTTCGGGCCAACCGTGGTCTAGTTTTTTTGGCTTTTTTGGTTTCCGCGAGATTTTTTGGTTTTTCTTGTTTTCTCAATGTGTTTCCTCTGTTCGTGTTAGATCAAGTGCAACTGACATGGCTGACCAATGAGAAGACTACAAGCCTCAAAACGCGCAAAAAGCGCGCTCCAGGGTCCCCTGTTCAGTTCTTTTGGGGGGGGTTCCTTTCTTTGTTTCGTCAAGAAGGCTTTGGGGTGTCGCAAAAGTGGTCCCGCAACTTTCATGAGTTTGGGTGAAGATAGTGGGTAGGGCTGTAGGGCTCTTGTTGAGGGTGCCCGCTTTTGGTGGTTCAACCAAAAGGAAGGAAAGTCACCCGTTTTGGGGTCTAGATTTCCAACGGACAGCTGTGCTTCGACCCAGCTTTTGGACATGACAAAAGATAGTATGACAGGAGCCGCATCGTTGGGAACTGGTTTTGACCCACTTCGGGTGTTGAGTGGGTTCCCGAGGGGCATGAAATTTGGGTCGGAAGGTTGAGGTGTCAACTTGGTTGGGCACGGGACCAGATGTTCCATTTGCTGAAATGAATATGTTTAATGTCCCTTTGTGGTTTTTAAGGGCATCTATCACTGGGGCGAAAACGCCAATGGAAGGCAGGTTTCGTTGGCTTATTGCGCTTGAGGGGACGCCAACTGGGTGCAGCGAATTTCAAGATTCTCCGACGATTCGGAGGCCCGCCTCGAGCAGCTTTCTGATGGGAAATGAGGGACCCCCGCACACACAACTTGGTGGCTCCCAGCCATCCGGTTCCTCAGCTTTCTAGCCTTTTAGGGTAGTGCTTTGTTTTTTTTAGCAACCAAACACTAAAACTTACACTTTTAGTGGGGGCTCTGAGGTCAGCCCACACAAAACAAAACAGCAACATCCAACTGAGCCACAAGCAAACCCGGGTAGATGAAGGTTAGGGAAAATCCCAACCATAAATAGCTGCGGCCGCCTTCTTAATTCTTTACATGGTTCTGGGTAGACCATGTTAACACCGGGTTTTGAGTATGACTCAACTGGTGGCTTCCTGTATTGAACTCTCATTCCCAAAACCCCCGTGGATTTCTTACCTATACTAGCAAGCTGTTCTTTGCAGCCAGGTACTTGACGTCTTCCGTTCGCTTAAGTGTTGTTATTAGATTCTTGCTAATACAATTTCCCTATATTTCCCCTGTTGGTTCTGAAAAGAATCGATTTCACTACTGGCCATACGTGTTTTTCAAGGGAATTCAGCGAGTTGAGGTAAGTTGGGTAGCCCTCCACGACTTCGATGCGCCAACTCGGTCGAACTTTTCCCCGACTTCGCGCCTTCGATGTTGGCGGAGGTCAAAGAGCTGAAACAGCGAGCTGGGACGAGCCAGGCCAGAGCCCTCAGACCTCTTGGCGCTTTCCTTTTGGGTGACCCACCACCCCCCGCCAAAAAAACACACAGAGAACTTTTGGGTTTATCGAAAACCACAAGCAAAGGATTCAAGAAACGACACACCCTTTTGCCAGCAATGTTAACCCTGGCCGGATCTAAGTAGAACCCGTCCTGTGGATGGAAGGGTGGGGGCCCCTCCAAAAGGGATGAACCCCAAGGGACACCCGATCGATCAGGCATTCTCCACAGTTCCCATTGCTGGATCTTGGCAAAAGCCAGCTGGCGTCTTGGTTTTTCTCACTCGGCATTTCCGTTCTTTTCTCCCCCATCCAGTGGGCAAAATTGAAATTGATTCAATAACCCTATAAGCCCTAGCTTTCTTTGGGGTTTCTCTTTGTTCAGCCTTTTGTTCAATCAACGTCCGAAAAAAGGCGCGTCGGAAGCAAAGTTGGAACCCTCTATCAACACTCACTGTCACAAGAGGGCCCCCCCCCGCACCCTACTTGAATGTCCAACCCGACTAAGTTACGTTTCCATAAGTCACCATTCCGTGATGGTAAATCTCACGGAATGGGGACTCATGAATTTGCATATCCAACACTTCCTGTGTGGTGGTCATCCTGCTACCCAGTGAGCAACCTGCGTGTTTTGGGAGATCGACCCGAACTCTTACAGGTTGATTTCTCTGCCCGACAGGTAGCGGTCGTTCCAATCATAATCGGGATTTGAACCCCAGTTCCTTTTGAAACCCCCTAACGTCCAAACCTCCAAACCACCAAAGTAGGGGGAAACTGATATCATCCGAAATGGGATGCCCTCTTTCACTTAAATTGGAACGCGGCCAGCCAACAAAAAATCGCTGCACCCATAAGGCCCAACCTATTTCTCACCTCCCAAAGGAAGAGGAAAACTACTTCCCACCCCAAAGAAAATGAGCAAAACTATCTCCCACCCCACAAACACGAGAAACAATACATAAGCCACGCTAGTGATCTGGGCAGACAAAAACAACAAAAACTTTGGGCCTCGAGCCGGCTGCACGTGGGCGGCTCGCACCCCATGAGATTGGCCCGTCAGATCTCCTCGCGGGCTTTGGTCGACCTGTGGTTCGGGGAGGAGAAGACGTTCTGAGGCGCGCGATCGAATCGAGGCGCTTCGAAGGCTTCTGCGCTAGTCCCCCTGGAACTCAGCGCCACATGGACCAGTCTGGAGCCCAAACTCATGTTCAAAGGACATGATAGATAGATATATACATGCTTTGGTGCATTTTGCCAAGGGATGTTAGGACTGAAAACCTTTGTGCCAACGAATCGGGTTTCCATTAAACCACGAACAGTTAAACGTTTAGCAGGGGATCAGAAAGCAACCGAGTTTTGCTGCGCTTGACATGGCATTGTGAACCTCTTGGGGCCTGGGCGGGAGGGGGAGCAATAAAGCCGTATTAGGGGCTTAATACGGCCGTTACGGAGGTCCCTCCCCTCCTTTTCGCTGTGTTAACCCCGGATAAACCAGGATGGTTGATTTTGAGAGATGGGGGTGTCCCCTTGTTGTGATCATCACCTTTGTGGTGCCCAACACACCCCTAGTTGGATGGGTTTATTCTCCGGATTCCCATGGTTCTTTCCTTTGGGTTCTGCTAGTTTTGAGTCGGGTGCTGCAACTACGTCACACATACAATTGCCTTGAATGCTATTGACTTGGATCTTCAACCTGTTACTGTTTGGTGGAAATCTTTATGTCCCACAAACCTGCAGAAAGTGCAACTTTTGGCACCGCGGGGTGATAGGCATCAACCTGCTTCACTGTTCTTGGCATGTTCTGTTTGTTGGGTTTGCGTTCTGCAAGTTTTAGTGGAGAGTTGCAACCATGTCAATTTTACTGGAGAGAGTGCGATTTGGGATCTTTAACCTTCAACCGTTTGGGGAACATCATGATCTTCCATGATTTTGCCAAGGACCAAGTCAAACCTTCTGGGCGCCGGGCGCAGCTCCGGGCTGTCATGGCGCCGGGTTCTGTGGGGCCACGGAGAAGCCGTGACCAATTCCTCAGGGCCTCAAACTTCCATGTGCAGCTGATGGCTTGCTCACTCCGAACTTTGTCCTGTCCGGCGCGGTCTTTCGGCGCAAAATGCCAATTTTGAAGGAAGGATCCCCAGGGTGATTTGTCAGAAAGAGACGCCTCTCAAAGAAAGATGTCTCCCATCACTGGAGAACCTTGACAGCAACCATCACTAGGCACAAGGAGTCAAGAACCGGCCCCATGTGATTTTTTCAAGCGCACTACCCCTGACTTTTCGGACTGACCCCCTTTCTCCAGCAAGATGTTCCTTCCTTTGCAATCCAGGAGACTATACTTGGATGTTTGTTGCCAAGTTACCCTTGGACCGGTTTGGACATTAAGCATGATGGCCTTTGACCCCCCCCCCAGACCTCAAAAAGTTGGGTCTTGGGCACCAGGGTTGGTAAGTTGTGAGTAACTTAGATTGCAACCCAGATATATGTTCCGCATTCAGTGGAGCAGCGCCGGTTGTTAGCGGGTTTTCTCATCATCGTGGACAGAAATCCAACCATGCGATTCAGGACCACTTCCTCCCCGAACCCAAAAAAACCTTTCTGCAGATGTCGCGCCCAACCACTTCCCAACTTGGCCGAACATTCAAGTAGCAGGGACTGCTTGTTTCCTCGCTCTCCGGCAGGGCTGAAAGGAGCTGTGAGTCGACAAATTCGTTGGACGCACCGCGCTCGCTCGTTCACGAACGGATTTGAGCGCAGTCTGCCAATGCAGCTTGCATTTCTTCCACTTGCTTGAGGCCTGGTTCATTGTTTTGTTGGATCAATCCCACTCTAAAACGAGGAAGGGTGCCTCTCGCACGTTTGTAAATCTACAATATTGGAGATGTATAGTATGAATACACATTTGTTGTGAGTGGTGCATATGATGATATGATCTATGACACAGCCTTGTTTCGTTGAAGTGCACATGGTCATGATTCGCACAAGTTGTTTGTTGGTGGCGCTGGAAAGGCGTGTGGAAGCTTATGGCACAGTCATCCGCGGATGGCGCAATGCCCTAATTCATTGGCCTTCGCTCTTAAGATGACTTGCCTCGGTCAAAAAAGGGGCCCTGCATTGAGTCATCCTGGAAACGTTGGCTTTAGGGCCATTTCCTTAGATACCAAGGGAACCGCCTGTAAAGTGATAGAGAAGTCATCGGGATAGCCCACTTTGGTATCGCGGAAAGGGCTAATGCCAACGACCATGCATTGAGTTGACCATGTGCAAGCGCAAAGATTGAGTTGCATGTGTTCTGGTCAAAGCGCCCGATTACTTGGCTTTCTCTTGAATGTCCACCCCGCTCCACCTCTTCATTCAACATGTGTGCAACATCATGTAAGGGATCGTATTCAAGATCATATAAAGAGTGTTCGACCATTGCACGCATGATGCATGTTGTGTCGCGTCCGCATCGCAACACAAGTTTGTATTTGTTGCAAAACAAGCCTGCTGCACGGCTAGAAGCTTGCTGAAACTTTGCAACCCCTAACAGGCCTCCCTGCAATTTCTTCTAGCGTTTCACACCTAGCCCGTTCCGCCTCTCCAGCTCAACACCCCCCCCCCCCCAAAAGAAAAGCCAAACCGACCGAGGCTTTTTCGCTCCACCTGGGTGGAATTCTTCAGTCCAATCCATTTTGGGGTGACCTCCATTTGCTTTTTCGTCCCCTTGGAAAAAAACAAGAAAATAAGAAGTTGTCTTAAGCAAATGAAAGGTTAGGACGCGTAAAACCCCGGGTGATTTCTTGAGCCCGACCCGCCAACGGCCTTGGTTCTGCGAGGGAATCCAATGCGCGAGCTTCTTCTCCTAGATCTTTGGGGATGCTGTTTGGGCATCTGCCGTTTGGGTCAAAACATGGTAAACCTCTACGTTAGACGGTGTCTTTGCACAAGTATTGGTCGGCCGCGTTTCCCGAAGCACATTCGCATGGGTCCGGATCATATCTTAAGCGAACTACTGCGTTGTTTGAAGCTCCCCACTGAAAATGACTTGAACCATAAAACAAACTATGAAACATGCCAAGGACGGTCAAGAAAAGGGTGCGACCATGCGACCCAATCACAAGGGTTGACTTTTTGTTGTAAAAGGGACCGCGTAGTAGGGACAACTTGGCGCTAGGTTTTGCTTCTGATTGTTTCCCCTTGCCTGCGATGACACTTCCATGCTTGTTTGTTCTTAACAGCGTGGGTGAGGATGAAACATTCCGGAAAAAGGAAAAGAACAAGTGGGTGAAAGAAGGATTCCCTGGTTTCACATCAGAATTCCCCCAGGTGTCATCGGTCTGAAGCAACCGGCTGCCAGAAAAAAAAGGCACCGAACGGCGGCGTCCCCTGGCCATCGTCTTCCCTCCGCAGGTGAGGATCAGTTCGGGGTGCCCTTTGAGGCTGGGACCGGCGGCCGTAGGCGTAGGCGTTGGCCTTCGTATGGGGAAGCCGTGCTGATATAACTAATGAAGTTACTGGTGATGCTGAATTAGTTGGTTGCTTGGTTGGTTGCTTGCTTGCTTGCTTGCTTACTTGCTTGCTTGCTTGGTTGCCTTCTTGCTTGCCTTCTTGCTTGCTTGCTTGCGTGCTTGCTTGCGTGCTTGCCTGTGTTTTGGTGTGCTGTGTCTGGGTGCTTTCTTTGTTTGCTGTATGTGCTCCATGTCTGTTTTTCCTGGCTGCTTGTCCTCTTCTCACGGCTTGCCCTTTTCGGGCCCGGTAGAAAGGCTTAGACGCCGTGCCGGCCAAAGAAAGCAGCGCCCAACACATGCGATCGAAGAGGGTTTTCTCCCTCAAACAACTACCCACCCAAAAATATATATCTAAAAATATATAGCCCAATCATGAAAGTATCGAGTGCTTCACATTCAGCAGCTTCCCGCGGCCACATGGTTCGGAGGTAAAGAAAACCCTTCTGAGCGCGTCCCCGTATGGAGATGGCCGTCTGGGGCAACTGCGGTGGACATGGCACCGGGACATGAATCCGATTGGTTGATCAACCCGTATGCATTGGGGTGTTCATCCAAAGCAACCGGTGCCAAGCGGATTTTTCTCCATCCTTACAACAAGAAACAACAAACACAAAACAACCCGTGCCAACCTCGCCAGAATGAAACTAAGCATCATGAGAGGTTCTTTTTTCTTCTCCAGGGCGCACCGGGCACCAATGAAGGGGACAGCTTCTTGTTCCATACATTTCCGGAATGTACAGACAGTGGAAGTCATGTGTGGCCCTGTTGAGTGTTCACCATACCGGACAAAACCACGAGGGCTGTTTTGCAGATCCCAGGCCGAAACAACCAAGACCCTTTTGCTTCTTTCACTCACCGGGTTTCTGAAGCTCGATATGCAGGGTGCTTCACTTGCTCCAATTCTTATTCAGGCTGTGGAATATTGGACGTATGCCCACAGAGTCGGTTGCAAGAAGTCTCCGAGTTTTCTGGCCCTTTTGAACCCACCCCGCTTGAATTTAAACCTGCCTGCACCCCCGGCTGCAACCCCGAGTTGTTCAGTTCATTCACACACCGCTTTTGGTGCCGATGACTTCTCCACGAAATCTCGTCAACGCCTTCTCTACCAGTACTGGGATACATGGGGGGTTTCCATCCTTGACTTCATTAAAGACCGTACATCCAAAAGGCTTTCTCAAATATTTTCGCTGGTTTCTCCAGGCCTCTTTGTGGTTTTTTTTTGGGGGGGCGGGGGGGTGGTTGGGACCTGGTGTTGGCTTACCTCCAAAATTTGCCGTGGCCGCCGCTTGACCCGTTTTGGACTCCTGGCCCCACGCATTCCGACCGATTCCGAGGCGGAAGTGTCAGAACGCCGGCTCCACAAGGAAGCGAGGCGCGGGGAGTCCGCGCGGAGTTTTTTTCGCGGCCAGAAGCGGCCTCGTTGTGCCTAAGCTTGCTTGAGCTATGTACATATATATATAATATATAGAATATATATATATATACATATGTAGACAAAGCAAGAAAGTACATAGGACGAAAGCAAGTTTTCCCCGGAGTACATGGGGCGTTCTGAAGGGCAACATGAGGCATTCTGCGGGTCCCGCTAAATCCACTTCGCATTAGTTGGGATTGGTGGTTTGAATCC